TATGTATATATAATTACTTGATATACATATATACACGCACTCAAACAATGGAGTCATAGGAAATGGAAAGACTAAGTGCCAAATATTGAAAGCCAGAACAGAAACTTCGTACAAAGGTCTGGAAAGGCTAAATATCTTTCATCTATCTATCTATCTATCTATCTATCTATCTATCTATCTATCTATCTATCTATCTATTTTTGTGCTGGTATTAGGACTAGAACTGGACACTGTCCCTTAGCTTTTTCACTGAAGGCTATCACTCTATCACTCAAGCATTTTGCTCCTTAATTGGAAATGAAGAATCACAAACTTTTCTGCCTGGGCTGATTTGTACCTTCATCCTCAAGTCTCTGAGTAGCTAGGATTATAGGCATGAGCCATAGAGGCCCAGCTCTCTCTGTCTCTCTCGCTCTGTCTCTGTCTCTCTGTATGTGTGTCTCTCTTTCTTTATCTTTCTCCCTCTTTTTTTTCTTTTTTAAATTAAATTATCTTTAAATAGTTGTGCAAAGGGGTTTCAAGTCAACAAACCAACATGTAAGTATGATGTATTTTGGTCAATGTTATGCTAGGAAGCAAAAAAGTTTGCAAGACTCCATCCCAATTAACAAGACCCTATTGATACTCAGTGCCTGTTATCCTATCTATTAGAAGGCCATTGGTTGAGGGATTGCAGTTGAGGGCCAGTTCCTGGGCAAAAACATGAGACCCTACCTAAAAAACAATGAAAGCCAAGAATATGGCTCAGCGATAGAGTGCCTGCCAGGCAAACATGACATTCTGAGCTGATACCCCCTAGTATAGACAGACACAGACTAAAAACAAAACTACTGCCATGTGAGGATTATCCCACTCAATCTCCCAACAAACAAGCAAAGTTTATAATGAAAAACAAAAAGCAACAACTTCAACAACAACAAGAAAAACAGCCTCCTGAAATCTTGGCTACTGGGGAAGCTGAGATAGGAGGATCAATATTCAAAGTGAGCGTGGGTGGGGAAGTGTAACACTTATCTCCAATTAACTACCAAAAAGCTGAAAGTACAGCTGTGGCTCAAGTGGCAGAGATTTGCCCAAGTAAAAAAGCCCAGGATCCTGTGCTCAGATCCTATGTTCAAGCCCCAGGATGGACACAAACAAAACAACCCAAGAATATTCACTATATTTTATAATGATCTGATTGCTTCTTGGTCTTTTGTTTCAAAAGAACTGAATTATGAGGAATTTACAAACAAAAAGAGAAATGATATTATCCTGAATCACACAACATAACCATGATTTGTATATACTGATAATAATAATAATAGATACTACTTCAATCTACAAATCTTTTGCCAAATTATAGCAAACTAATGACAATAAGGTTGTGGCTTTATGGAGAGAGAAAGCAAATGATTAAAAGCTTAAAAATATCTCCTTTTAAAAAGACTTCAATAGTTTTCAGAGATGAAAAATCCAGACATGGCTGGACTCCACTCTCTTGTCTGATCCCAGCAGACTACAGGTGCATATGCAGTATGCACACTGAATGCTGTAAGGTAAAATTAAGAAATGGTGGTCATTTCTGCGTGTAAATTTCTATATATGGTGTTAAGCTTGGATTCCAGGCCTTCTGCAGGAGCAGGCTTTGAAAATGTTCTATGTCCTGTGGCTCTGTTGGCTTTTTAACCTTAGGTAAGGAAAGGCACTAGTAGGAGATTTCTTTGCTTCTTCTTCTTCTTCTTTTTTTTTTTTAGATTTTTGAGGATTTATACTTTTATTATTTAAAAAATTGTAAAGTACAGAGGGGTTACTGTTACATAATTAAGGTAGTGAGTACATTTCTTTTTCAACAGTGTTACCCCTCCCTCATTTTCTACCACTCCCCTCCCCCACTTTAACCCTGCGGGTTCCCCCTTCTACCCCCTCCCAGTAGGAGATTCTTAGGGATCTTTACTGTCCCTGGGCTAGGAGGCCTTAGACTTGTAACCAGATCCAGCCAGTCTGGGTTTAATTTGAAGCAAGAAACCAAGGGCTAACGATGTAGGGCCGGAAGTGCCCATCAGAGGGCAGTATTGACTCATGTCAGCGCGCGGCGCGCTTCGCGTTTGGAGGGGCGTTCTTGTGGCCAGGAAGAAATGTATGACATATGCCCTATATTTTGCATTGTCTGGCTTAAACTCATGGTTTTGCAAGTTACTTCCCTTAAAGGGGAAAATTACTGACCTTACTCCTAGTTATTCTTTCTCCGTTGGAGAAGCAAAGCGTACTCTCACAAAACCTATCTGTGGCGAAGAAAGATGAGGAGAGTTCCCGCCGCCCGTAAGACGTGGCAGGCGGGCATGGTGTTAGCATTTCCAACTTCCTCACATTTTGTTTCCTATTTCGTATCCCTCGTCTTCCCTTGGACCCCAAACTAAACAAAACCTTTATTAGATTTCCTTTGGCTACAAAGTATCCAGAGGGCGAAATTACTCCATCATGGGTCAAAATTCCAAAACTAATTTTTTTCAGAAGAAAGAACGGGACTCTGTTCCAAAGGCCGCTGTGGTCACCTCAGAAATGGGAAGGCTTTTTCTGACACCCGAATTCCAGGTGTGAGGAAAACAACGCCTAGCAGACACCGCCTGCCCCCCCCAGCCCCCTAGCAGAGGATGGGGTTTGGGGGACGGGTCTTGAGGGGTGTAGTCTCCGGGAAGGCGGGGCGGAGGGGCGAGGGGGCCGCTCGGGGACTGCGTAGCAAGGCCGGCGATGGGTGACTGACCGATCCCGCAACACAGCAACTCCGCATATCTTTCTGGCAGTGGGAGAGGAAGGGCACGGAAAGGGTTAAGGCAATCTGTGCGGCGCATTCCCAGACAGGCTTGGCTTAATCCTTCCTCCCGCTTTACCAGGCCCGTACCCCCCGCCTCCCTTTTATTACTCTCCGCGACCCCCTTTACCCCTGCGGGCCTTACAACCTGGGGTCGGCCCCCTCCCGCCCCCTCCTCCACTAAAGTTTATTCGCAAGCCAGACCCACCCCCATCTATTCTGCAGCCGCACTCTGCGGTTATAAAGGGGACGCTGGCCAAGATTTGCCCAGAGGGGTGGGGGGGGGAAGAGCAGGAGAAGAAGAGGGGCTCAGTGGCCCCCTCCCTACTCAACACCTCCGCCGGGCTGCACTCCCACGCGGACCGCCCACAGCCCCGGGGCGGGCCTGGGGAGTGATGAGCATCCCGAGCAACCAATCAGAGGCCGGGACAGACAGAGGCGCCCGTTCATGGTGGGTATGGCAAGCGGGACCACGGCCCAATGAGGCCGCGGCGGGGGCGGGATGGTAGGTGACAGGACCGGAGCCCGGGGGAGTGGCGGAGAACTCCAGCGCCGGGGATCACTGAGTGCGGAGCAAAGTTTCGGAGCCCGAGCTGGGCTGCAGCTCGCCGCCCGCCCTTCCCCGGTCAGGGCACGAGTGTGTGTATGTGTGTGTTTGTGCATATGTGCTTGCCCACTCGTGTGGATGGCACGCGCGCGCGTGTGAGTGTGTGCACCAGTGTGTGCTTGCATGGGCGTGTGCACGCGCGCGGGTGTTCATGAGTGCGCGTGCGTGTACAGCGCGCGCGTAAGCGTGTGCATCCGTGTGCGCCTGCATGTGTGCAGGGCACATGTGTGCACCCCAGTACACCCGTGTGTGTTCGCGTGTGTGCACCCGCGCATGTGTGCATGCATGCCTGAGTGTGATCTTGCGCGCGCATGAGTGTGTGTGTGTGTGCGCGAGTGCGCGCGGCAGGGAAGGGGCGGGGCCGCGGGCCGCCGCGGGGGCTGGGAGGGACCCGCCGAGCCCGAGCCGCTACACGGTTCCACCTCTGGCCCCGGCAGGCGAGCTGAGCGCTGACAGGCGCGGCCCGGAGCTGCGCAAGGTCCCTTCACAGCCCGTCCAGCTTCCCCGCCGGCATCGCCACGGTGACCAAGGAGGAGAAAGAGAAGAGGGGACCCAGCACCCCGCCCCAAACAAAAAGCCTTGTGGATTACAAAGTGAAACTGACCCGGGACAATAGCGGAGCGCGCAGCCCGGCGAGGGCTTCCGACCCCAGTCGCCGGAGGCGAGAACCCCATGCCACACTGAAGGGAGGGGACGCGGGGGCTCGCGCGCCGCTCCGGCCAGACCTTCGGGAGGCCGAGAAGAAAGGGAACCCCGCGCTCCACTTGGATGTACAAATAATGGATGGGCAGGCGCCCAGGCGGAGGTGAACGATGCGGTGGAGGGCTGGCGGCTGCCAGCGTCGGGTCTCGGGCTCCGGGCCGCAGCAGGGGCGGCGACGGCGGTGGCGGCTGGAGAGCCAGGAACAGAGCTGAGCGCTCGGGACACCGCCGCCGGAGCTCCGGGAACGCGGCGGATTGCCGGCGCGCACACGCCGCCCGAGGGCCTAGGCGGCCGCCGGCAGGGCCGGATTGGAGGGAGGGGTGTTGCAGCCCGCTTCTATGAGGAAGGGTCTCCAGGAACTCCCTGTCTCCAGCTCCCCGAGGGCAGGGAAATCGCTCTCCCCAGGTTTCCCTCGCTCCTTGAACAACGCCAGCTCTCCACAGTGGGTAAGTTCTAAAGTTTCTGGAGATTTTTTTTTGTTTTTGTTTTTTTCTGCACTGATTGCTCAGATTCAATTCTGAAATCACACACCTCCAACCCACCCGAGCCAGAGCGTTCCGATCCTGCGGATCAAAAACAAAACTCAAGGAAAGGCAAACAGAAAAAAAAAAAGCCAGAGAGCCGAACAACTTTCCTGAGCGGATCCGCCGGGGGCCCGCGGAGTCCGCGGCCGCTTTTGGGCTCAGCATCTTCCCCTGCGCCCTGCGTGCATCGGGCGACCTGGACCCATTTTTTTCGGGGCTGCAGGGGTCTTTCTGGGGCCGGACTGAACTGCCTTTGACACTCTAGGGGTCTCAGCCCCAGCCGATCGCCTCCGCTGCTCCATTCGACCGGGTAAGGATTCCCCGCCTCTCCTCAGCTTCCTTCCCTGCGGGGACTCCGCTCTGGAAGCCAAGGACCATGACCCTGGCAGCGGACGGGGCTGCGGGCCACGCGTGCCCGCCGCCCCTCACGCTGTGCCCATCCCAGCTCCTTCGAGTCCTGTGGCTGCTTTGCCTGCTGCCCGGCCCCGCCTGGGTCCAGGGCGCCGAGCAGCGCCAAGTGTTTCAGGTTCTGGAAGAACAACCGCCCGGCACCCTGGTGGGCGCCATTCAGACGCGCCCCGGCTTCACCTACCGGCTCAGCGAAAGCCACGCCTTATTCGCCATCAACAGCAGCACCGGAGTCCTGTACACCACGGCCACCATCGACCGCGAGAGTCTGCCTAGCGACGTGATCAACTTGGTGGTGCTGTCCAGTTCACCTACTTATCCGACCGAAGTGCGCGTGCTGGTGCGCGATCTCAACGACAACGCGCCCGTCTTCCCGGACCCCTCCATCGTGGTCACGTTCAAGGAGGACAGCGGCAGCGGGCGGCAGGTCATCCTGGACACCGCCACCGACGCGGACATCGGCTCCAACGGCGTGGACCACCGCTCCTACCGCATCGTGCAGGGCAACGCGGCGGGGCGCTTCCGCCTGGACGTCACCCTGAACCCCAGCGGCGAGGGCGCCTTCCTGCACCTCGTCTCCAAGGGCGGGCTGGACCGCGAGGCCACCCCGCAGTACCAGCTCCTGGTGGAGGTGGAGGACAAAGGCGAGCCGAAGCGGCGGGGGTACCTGCAGGTGAACGTGACAGTGCAGGACATCAACGACAACCCCCCGGTGTTCGACAGTACCCAGTACCAGGCGGGGGTGCCCGAGGACGCGGCCGTGGGTTCCAGCGTCCTGCAGGTGGCGGCGGCGGACGCGGATGAGGGAACCAACGCGGACATCAGGTACCGGCTGCAGGACGAGGGCACCCCTTTCCAGATGGACCCCGAGACCGGGCTCATCACGGTGCGTGAACCGCTGGATTTCGAGGCCCGGCGCCAGTACGCGCTGACCGTCCAGGCGATGGATCGGGGTGTGCCCTCGCTGACCGGGCGCGCCGAGGCGCTCATTCGGCTGCTGGACGTCAACGACAACGACCCGGTGGTGAAGTTCCGGTACTTCCCGGCCACATCCCGCTACGCCTCCGTGGACGAGAATGCCCAGGTGGGTACCGTGGTGGCTTTGCTCACCGTCACCGACGCCGACTCCCCGGCGGCCAATGGCAACATCTCTGTGCAGATCCTCGGAGGCAACGAGCAGCGCCACTTTGAGGTGCAGAGGAGCAAAGTGCCCAACCTGAGCCTCATCAAAGTGGCCAGTGCCCTGGACCGCGAGCGCATCCCCTCCTACAACCTCACGGTCTCCGTGTCTGACAACTTTGGGGTGCCCCCCACCGCAGAGACCCGGGCGCGCTCGTCTGTGGCCAGCTTGGTGATCTTTGTCAATGACATCAACGACCACCCGCCAGTCTTTGCCCAGCAGGTGTACCGGGTGAACCTGAGTGAGGAGGCGCCCCCTGGGAGCTACGTGAGTGGGGTGTCTGCCACGGACGGGGACTCAGGGCTCAATGCCAACCTGCGATACAGCATCGTCTCTGGCAATGAACTGGGGTGGTTCCGGATAAGTGAGCACAGTGGCCTGGTGACCACTGCAGCCTCTGGGGGCCTGGACCGTGAACTCGAGTCCCAGATTGTACTGAACATCAGTGCTCGCGACCAGGGAGTCCACCCCAGAGTGTCCTACGCTCAGCTAGTCGTTACTCTTTTGGATGTGAACGACCAGAAGCCAGTGTTTAGCCAGCCACAAGGGTACCAGGTGTCTGTGGTAGAGAATACCCCAACTGGGACAGAATTGCTCGTGGTTGGTGCAGAGGATGGGGATTTGGGTGACAATGGGACAGTCCGCTTCTCCCTACAGGAACCAGAAGGTGCCCACAGGGCCTTCCGGCTGGACCCTTTGTCGGGGAGGTTGAGCACAGTTTCCTTTCTGGACAGGGAGGAGCAAGCCTCCTATTCTCTGTGGGTTATGGCCACAGATCTGGGCTCCCCTCCCCAGACATCCGTGGCCCGCATCAACGTGAGTCTGGTGGATCTGAATGATAACACTCCAGTGTTCTATCCTGTCCAATATTTTGCTCATATCCAAGAGAATGAACCAGGAGGGAGCTATGTGACCACTGTCTCTGCCTCTGACCCTGACCTGGGGCCCAATGGAACTGTCAGGTATACCATTTCAGCAGGGGACAGGTCCAGGTTTCAGATCAATGCTCAGAGTGGGGTGATTTCTACTCGGATGGCCCTAGATAGAGAAGAGAAAACAGCCTACCAATTGCAAGTAGTGGCTACTGATGGTGGCAATTTACAATCACCCAACCAGGCCATTGTCACCATCACGGTTTTGGACACACAAGATAACCCGCCTGTGTTCAGCCAGGCGGCCTATAGCTTTGTGGTGTTTGAGAACGTGGCTTTGGGCTATCAGGTGGGCAGAGTGTCAGCGACAAGCATGGATCTCAACACGAACATCACTTATGTCATTACCACTGGGGACCAGAAAGGCATGTTTGCCATTCACCAGGCCACAGGACAGCTGACCACAGCCAGTGTGATCGACAGAGAAGACCAGGCATTTTATCAGCTCAAAGTAGTAGCTAGTGGTGGTGCAGTGACTGGAGACACAGAGGTGAACATAACAGTGAAGGATCTGAATGACAACGCTCCTCATTTCCTCCAGGCCGTGGAGAGTGTCAATGTGGTAGAGAACTGGCAGGCTGGCCACACTGTTTTCCAAGCTAAAGCAGAGGATCCCGATGAAGGTGTCAATGGCCTAGTGGTCTATAGTCTGAAACAAAACCCCATGAATCTGTTTGCCATCGATGAAAGGAATGGTACTGTTAGTCTTCTGGGTTCCTTGGATGCACACGCTGGTTCTTACCAAATGGAAATCTTGGCGTGTGACACCGGGGTGCCCCAGCTTTCCTCTAGCCTCATTGTAACCGTGTATGTCCATGATGTCAATGACAACCCACCTGTGTTTGACCAGATTTCTTATGAGGTCACTCTTTCTGAGTCTGAACCTGTGAATTCTCGGTTCTTCCAAGTTCAGGCTTCTGATCAGGACTCTGGGGCCAATGGAGAAATTGCATATGACATTGTGGAAGGCAACACCGCGGGTGTGTTTGGCATCTTCCCAGATGGTCAGCTGTATATAAAAAGTGAACTTGACCGTGAGCTTCAAGACAGATATATTCTGATGGTTGTTGCTTCTGACAGAGCCATTGAACCACTCAGTGCTACTGTGAACGTGACTGTGATTCTAGAAGATGTTAATGATAACAGACCTCTTTTCAACAGCACTAATTACATGTTTTACTTTGAAGAGGAGCAGGCAGCTGGGTCATTTGTGGGCAAAGTAAGTGCTGCCGATAAAGATTTGGGGCCTAATGGAGAAGTAAGGTATTCCTTTGAGATGTCACAGCCAGACTTTGAGTTACATGCCATCACCGGGGAAATCACAAGCACTCGTCAATTCGACAGGGAGTCTTTTGTGAGACAGAGGGGAAACGCCATGTTCAGCTTCACAGTCATCGCCATGGACCAGGGGCTCCCTCATGTGCTCAAGGACCAGGCAAGTGTCCATGTGTACATGAAAGATATAAATGATAATGCTCCTAAATTTTTAAAAGACTTTTACCAAGCTACCATATCAGAGACAGCAGCTAACCTGACCCAGGTTTTAAGGGTATCGGCTTCAGATGTCGATGAAGGCAATAATGGACTGATTCATTATTATCTCATCAAAGGAAATGAAGAAAGGCATTTTGCTGTGGACAGCATATCAGGTCAGGTGACGCTTATCGGCACCCTGGATTATGAAACCACACCCGCCTATTCCCTAGTGATCCAGGCAGTGGATTCAGGAGCAATCTCCCTCAATTCAACCTGTACACTAACCATCGAGATTTTAGATGAAAATGACAATAATCCTTCCTTCCCCAAGGCCACGCTAATGGTGGACGTTTTGGAGAACATGAGGGTTGGTGAGCTGGTGTCGTCGGTGACGGCCACGGACTCGGATTCGGGGGACAATGCCGATTTGCATTACAGCATCACCGGGACCAACAACCACGGGACCTTCAGCATCAGCCCCAACACTGGCAGCATTTTCCTCGCCAAGAAACTGGACTTCGAAACCCAGTCTCTGTACAAACTAAACATCACTGCCAAAGACCACGGCAGGCCCCCTCGCTCATCCACCATGTCAGTGGTGATCCAGGTGAGAGACTCCAACGACAACGCACCCAGCTTTCCACCCGGGGACATCTTCAAGTCCATCGAGGAGAACATTCCCGTCGGCTCGCCGGTCCTCTCCGTGACGGCGCACGACCCCGACGCCGACATCAACGGCCGGCTGGCCTACGCCATTGTGCAACAGCGGCCCCGCGGGGGCCATTTCTGCATAGACGAGGCCCAGGGGGTCATCTACACAAGCGCCGAGATTGACCGCGAGTTCGCCAACCTCTTTGAGCTGACCGTGAGGGCCAGCGACCAGGCCATGCCCGTGGAGACCAGGCGCTGCGCCTTGAAGAATGTCACCATCCTGGTCACGGACCTCAACGACAACGTCCCCACGTTCATCTCGCAGAATGCCCTGGCGGTGGACCCGGCCACCGTGGCCGGCTCGGTGCTGACCACCCTCCTGGCCGCTGACCCCGACGAAGGAGTCAACGGAGAGGTGGAGTATGAGATCGTCAACGGGGACGCGGGCGCCTTCAGCGTGGACCGCTTCAGCGGGGACCTGCGCGTGGCGGCCGCCCTGGTGCCCTCGCGGCTCGTCTACAACCTCATCGTGGCGGCCACAGATCTTGGCCCTGAGCGCAGGCGATCAACTACGGAACTGACCGTCCTTCTGCAGGGCCTGGACGGACCTGCATTCACGCAGCCCAAATACATCACCATTCTGAAGGAAGGGGAGCCCATCGGCACCAACGTCATCTCAGTGGAGGCGGCCAGCCCCCGGGGCGCCGAGGCCCCCGTGGAGTACTACATCGTGTCTGTGCGCTGCGAGGAGAAGACAGTGGGTCGCCTGTTCACCATCGGGCGACACACGGGCGTTCTGCAGACGGCCGCAGTCCTGGACCGGGAGCAGGGCGCCTGTCTTTACCTGGTGGACGTTTACGCCATAGAGAAATCGTCGGCTTTCCCCAGGACGCAGAGAGCAGAGGTAATGATTCTGGAATTCTCTTTGTATTTGCTGTGAATGCGATGTTTATGGACGTTATTGTCTCTTGTGTGTTCTTCCTATCATGATTTCCACTGGTTGATAGATTGATGGTTTGTTTGCTTGATTGAGCCAGTCCTGGGGCTTAAAACCAGTTTAGTGCTCTGCTGCTTGAGACACACCTCCACTTCCGGCTTTTTGAAGGTTAATTGGAGATTGAAGTCTCCGGCTTTTTGAAGGTTAATTGGAGATTGAAGTCTCATGGTTTTCCTACCCAGGTTGGCTTTGAACATAGACCCTTAGATCTTAGCCTCCTGAATAGCTAGGATGACAGCTGTGAGCCACTGCTACCCAGTTATTTTCCCTTATTTTTTAATGCTGAATTATTATTATTTTTTAATAAAAAGGAGCAGAGGGGAAAAAGGTTCTGTCATAAATACTATTTCAGAAAAAAAAGTATAGGTATGATCTTGGTTAGTCTAATGACATTTTTTTCTAGTATATGCATCACCTCATAGAAATCATCAGGCTAAGGAGAAATAGTAAGTGGGATCCATTTATATGAACTGAACTGTGGTACTAACCTACACTTACCTTTCAGTAAGGATGACCTCCAGGGGAGGGCAATCCCAGAATAAAAAATTCCCTGTTGCACAATGAAAACCTTCAGTAGAAGTCTGCAAGGTGACCTAGCTTTTGGGGATGAGTAGATTTGGAGATCAGCGTGAGAACTTACATAAGGATACTGTTAACTGCCATGTCCTTAGCAATCTTGGCATATTCTTTTTCAAAAGTGTGTAATTCTGATGGGCTGAGCCAAGTTTGGGAGGAGACTCTTGACATCATCTGAAGTACATTCTAAGCTCCACCCTCTGACTCAGGTCCATCCTTTCTCCTCCCCTGAAAGCATATCATGTTTTATGAATGAACCAAACGGAGTTGTGTAATGCCATATAGAAGTACATGCTGATGGGTAAGGGATTGGTGTTTCACGGTACAAGCCAAGAGAATACCACACTTGGCCTTTCCTATCACAACTCTAGGTTACAGCCTCCATGGTCCCATTGATTGTATTTTCTCAGTTGAATTATTTCCTGTGTTGAGCTGATCATTGTCCTGTTTTGATCCAGTGATACTGGGGAAGGTATCATTTGCTGTCTTCTAGGGTTTTTTTTCTACCTTCCCTCACAGATATTGTAGAGCTTGTTACTCAGCCAAAAGTACAAAATATCAAATGTGGTTTGTGATACTTGGCGGTCACCCAAACACAACATGCTGGTGAAATACAGGCTCGTGTGTTTGTTTTCTTGGTCTTTTCTCTTTGGGGAGGAGGTGGGGAGCTCGCTTCATTTTAAATGCTCATTTGTTCTTATCCTGTAAGGCTCCCCATCATCATTCATTTTCATGATAGCTGGCTGAATCTGTGCTGTCCACGTCTTACTGGGAAGTAGAGACAATTAAAAGAATACTTAGTAGATGTAACTCTTAAATATATTATTCTAAGCGAGGTTTACTTTTATCTTATATGCATAGTTCCGAAAGTTTATAGATAAATTACCTTCTTTTACTTATTTTTCTGCTGTTTTGATTTAATTTTATATTTTGTGTGGGTATTGGGGCTTGAACTTGGCATCTTTGATTATTTGGTTTTTCGCTCTAGGCTGGCACTCTACCACTAGAGCCATACTTCCACGTCCAGCTTTTCCCTGGTTCACTTGAGATCAGAGTCTCATGGACTTTACTGCCTGGGCTGGCTTCTAACTGCAATCCTCAGATCTCAGTTTACTGACTAGGTTTACAGATGTGAGCCACCAGCTCTGATCATGGCTCTGTTTTATTTAGCTCTTTAGAAAATTCTGAAATATATAGGCTGGGAATGTGGCTTAGTGGTAAAGAGCTTGCCCAGCATGTATGAAGCCTTGGGTTCCACTTCTTAGTACTACACAAACAGAAAAGGTCAGAAATGGAGCTCTGGTTCAAGTGGTAGAGTACTAGCCTTGAGCAAAAGAAGCCCAGAGACAGTGCCTAGGCCCTGAATTCAAGCCCCGGGACTGGCAAAACAAAATCTGAAATATAGGAGTGGTTTGGTTTGGCTCATGTCAGAGTTTATCACGACTTAATGTGTAATTTTATTTTACTCTCTAAATATCAAACTCTATGTCTACTATTTTTTTCTCTAGATTTCTTTGGTGAAGAGATTTAAATAGAAAGTCAAAATATTTATTGAAGGCAAGCAGTTTGGGCTTTGGATGACTTTGTTCAAGTTTAAAACAGTTACATTACTAGGTGCTGTTTAGTTCAGGGTATTGCAGTTTATTAGAATACTGTACAGATTCTATTAGAATACTTTAGAATACTATGTAGAATGAGAATCTGTGTTCAAGTTCATTATTGTTCATTGTTCTTTGTTCATTAGACAGGCAATATATCTTGAATAACATTGCCTCTGAAAGGTATGAGGTAGGAAAAATAGTCATTAAAATGATGTTGCCAGTAATAGATGACACTGTCCCTATTTTTAACATCAAGTAACATCAGTTAAAAGTTATCATACAAACTGTAATTCATTCATTTAAAAACCTAAGGAGAATTCAATATGATTTTTAAAAAATGCAAAACATTGTGTCAGAATATTGTCTGTGAACTTAAGGACTGAAATTGAAAACTGAGTTTACATTCCAATGTCCAGGCACTCTGAACTTGAAAGCAATTTAAAAAAATTATTCCAAAGAATATTGACAGCAGTAGTTGGGAGTTTAAATTTCATATTCTTATTGCTTGTATTTTTCAAAGATAGACAAGAAAAGTGTTCTTTTTTTTCTTTTGCTCAATTTATAATTGTGCCAAAAAGAAGTTATGAATGACCTCTGTTTGTTAGAGATGATTTTTAATTGTATCCACACCCAGAATGTTCAATTCACTTATAAGTTTGTGTTTATGCTGATAGGATTTAGAGTTACTCACTCAGGTTTCTGGTCAGAGTTGTGGTTGATCATGTGTGCTTTAAGCAGAGAGACAACAGGTAAAAAGCAAACCATTGAATCTGCATTCTTTTCCAAGCTCCCTGCTTGAGGTGGCATGAATAGGAAGACCTTTGAAGACATCATTTTGAGTTGAAGACACAGGTTTATTTTTCCTTTTTTTTTTTATTCAGACGCGTGCAGAGTCATGATTTTGTTAGAGTAGCTCCTATAAAGTCTCTATCATGGCTTGTCAATTGTTTTTGAGCTCCGACACAAGAGCAAACTTAGCAAACTTATTTTTTCTTGTGCCTGTGATTGTACTTGAACTTAGGACCTGGGAGCGGCCCCTTAGCTTTTTTTCATTCAAACCTGGAGCTCTACCACTTGAGCCACAGCAACCTCTGGCTTTTAAAATGGTTAATTGGAGATTAGAATTTCACAGACTTTCTTGCCCTGGCTGGCTTCAAACTGTGATCTTCTGATCCCAGCCTCAGCTAGGATTACAGGTGTGAGTCACCAACACCCAGGTAAACATTCATTTTTTTTAAAATAAGTGTTACCAAAAGGCATGTGGGTAGGTCCTAACTGGACCTCAAAAGATGAGGAACTTTGTTATTGCTCTTTGCTTCTTCAGTTTTATAGTACCTGCTGCACCACAGACACTTGAAGCACATTTTCTGAGTGAGAGGGTAGAATGGCTAAGATCTGAATATATGTCCCTGCATGGGGAATAAATTGGCACAAGAAAGCTTGGGGGGTGGGGGGGATGAGTGGAGTGTTAAATCTGATCCTATCATTAATTGAACATAGTAATTACCTCTGCTCTACAAATGTCTGAAACCTCCAAAAGCATGGACATGGAGTGGGGGAGTCTGATGTAGAGTTTACAGTTTAGACAGTACAAAGTGATGTTCTCAGACCTTTTGAATTGCAGGACTCTTCTGTGCTCTTCAAAACCACCCAAAGGGGCTTTTGGTTAGGGATGTCTTATCTATTGAGACTTTCTATTTTTAATACTAAAGCAAAATATAAAGCTTATTTAGTTAAAATCTGCACTAGACACAATGTTTTCATCTTACTTAAAGACTACTTTATTTCTTTCCCTTTTTACTTTTATGATCCTTAAGTAATTGTACAAAGGGGCTGCAATTCCACATGCCAGTTTATGAGTACATTGCATCCTGATCACTGTTACCCCTTCCATCCTCCTCCTCCATTTCCCAACCCCATCCCTCCCCACAAGTTAAGGGACATCATTTTCACACAACACAGTGCGTGCTATGGCTGCATTCACACACTCTTCCTTTCTCCATTTATCCGCCCTCCTCTCCTTGTACCCCTCTTTCCTAGCCTCCCCTACCTCCCCAACAGCACATGTTTTAGACCTCTGGTACTGATATCTTCTAAACTTAAAAAAATAAAAAGAGTGACATGGGAATTTAGATATACCTCCAATACACTGATCATTGCTTTTGTTTATATTTCCAGTGGTAAGATTACTGGGTCTTACCATCACTCTCATTTTAAGTTTTGAAGGAACTTCTCCCATGTCTTTCATACTTGTCTTGTTAGTTTATATTTCTTGGTTCTTGAGTTCTCCTCCAGGGTCTGTGTATTAACGTGGCTTGGTCTGCAAGTTGTACTACTTGGCTAGGTTCAAGTTGGTTATTTATTTATTTACTGTGCTAATTCTGAGCTTAAGCTCAGGGTGTGGGCATTGTCCCTGAGGTTTGTTTTTTGTTCAAGGCTAGTGCTCTACCACTTGAGCCACAGCTCCACTTTTGGCTTTTTGGTGGTTAATTGGAGATAAGATTTTTTTGGATATTTCCTGCTCAGGCTGGCTTCGATCCTTGATCCTCAGATCTCACTCAGCCTCCTGAGTAGCTAGGATTACAGGCTTGAGCCTCTGGTGTGCAGCTGTTGTATATTTTTCAACAGTCATTTATTTTGTCTTCTTTTGAGAATCGTCTGTTCAGATCTGCTATCATGATTTAATCCAATAATTCATTTCTGCTATTTACTTATGTATTTTCAGATGTA